TGTTGTAGACAAAGCAATTGTTGACTGCAAAGTAGACTTCCAACTAACTGGTGCCTTTGCAAAAGTAAACACATAACCAGTAGTTGATCTTCGTTTGTCCAGGTCATCTGCAAAATCTGAGTCACAATATCCAACTACAGACTAATTGTTTTCCTGCTTAAAAACTAACCCAACATCTACAGTATTATGAATATACCGTAGAATCCACTTCACAGCTTGCCAATGCTCCTTTTCGGGATTATGCATATATCTGCTAATAACTCCAACAGCTTGTGAAATGTCAGGCCTCGTACAAACCATTGCATACATCAAGCTACCAACAACATTTGCGTATAGTACTTTTGACATATACTCTCGTTCAGCTTCATCCTTTGGCGACATAGTAGTACTTAGCTTAAAATGGGGAGCAAGTGGAGTACTAACTGACTTAGTCTTTCATCTATGCCAAAATGTTGTAGTACCCTTTTCAAATATTCTTTCTGAGATAAACAGAGTTTCTTTGAACGTCTATCTCTTATTATCTCCATGCCAAGAATTTTCTTTGCCTCACCCAGATCCTTCATCTCGAACTCCTTCTTCAGTTGAATCTTCAACTTATCAATTTCTTCCGAATTCTTGGATGTTATCAACATATCATCAACATATAGGAGAAGCTATATAAAGGAACCGTCTTTAAGCTTGCGCAAATACACACAATGATCGTATTTGCTTCTCTTGTACCCTTTCTGCAACATAAACTTGTCAAATCGCTTGTACCATTGTCTAGAAGATTGTTTCAATTCGTACAACGATTTTTCGAGTTTCACACCATATTTTCTTTTCCAGCAACTTTGAATCCTTCTGGCTGAGTCATGTAGATTTCCTCCTCCAAGTTTCCATGTAAAAACGCAGTTTTTACATCCATCTGAACTAGTTCCAAATCCAATTGTGCTACCAAAGCCAACATAATTCTAATGGAGGAATGTTTTACAACTGGAGAAAACACTTCATTGTAATCAATTCCCTCCTTTTGAGCATATCCTTTGGCCACCAATCTTGCTTTGTAGCGAACATCTACTTGGTTAGGAAATCCTTCCTTCTTTGCAAATACCCATTTGCACCCAATTGCTTTCTTTCCCTTCGGGAGATTGGCCAATCTCCATGTATGATTCTGATGAAGGGACTGTATTTCATCATTCATGGCAATCCTCCACTTATCTTCTTCTGAACTTTGGACAGCGTCTTTATAAGTAGTAGGAACATCATCAGCTACAATTGAGGTTGCACAAGCAACCGTCTCTATGAGACGAACAGGTTTCATTATTGTCCTTTTTGGCCTACTAGTTGCTATTGATTCAAGTTGTTGTTGAGGTTCCTGAGTTGGAATTTCCTCTACTGGCTCTCCTTCCAAAGGATGATCTTCATTTGTTTCCTCCTCTGCTTCTTGTGTAGGAAAAATAAATTTTCCCTCAAACTCCACCTGCTTAGAAGCACCTTCATTTTGTTTGGTATCTTCTGTTACCTTATTTACCATAGCANGAATCTCCTCTACTGGCTCTCCTTCCAGAGGGTAATCTTCATTTGTTTCCTCCTCTGCTTCTTGTGTAGGAAAAATAAATTTTCCCTCAAACTCCACCTGCTTAGAAGTACCTTCATTTTGTTTGGTATTTTTTGTTACCTTATTTACCATAGCGGATTCATCAAAGACAACATCCCTGCTGAATATTATTTTCTTTGTCATAGGACACCATAAGCGATATCCTTTGACTCCAGAAGTAATCCCCATAAAAATAGCCTTTTTTGCCCTTGAATCCAATTTTGACTCTGTCACACGATAATATGCAGTTGAGCCAAACACGTGCAAAGAGTCATAATCTACATCAAGCTTTCCATACCATTTTTCAAATGGTGTTTTGCCATCAATAGCAGCAGATGGTAGACGATTAATGAGGTGGCATGCATATGTAATTGCCTCAGCCCAAAATTCTTTGCCCAAGCCAGCATTGGACAACATACACCGTACCTTCTCCAGCAAGGTCCGGTTCATACGTTCTGCCACTCCATTCTGTTGTGGTGTATGTCTAACAGTGAAGTATCGGACGATGCCATCATTTTCACAAACCTTATTGAAATGATCATTTTTGTATTCACCTCCATTGTCTGTGCGAATACACTTGATCCTCCTGCCTGTTTGATTCTCAACCATCGTCTTCCATTTGAGAAAAATTCCCAACACTTCATCTTTGCTCTTCATTGTATACACCCACACTCTTCGGGAAAAATCATCAACAAAAGTTACAAAATAGTTCTTCCTACCCAATGAAGGTGTTTTAGAAGGACCCAAACATCAGAATGTACATAATCCAAAATGTCTTTAGTAGTATGGATTGTTGTACCAAATTTAACCCTTGTCTGTTTTCTTTTGACACAATGCTCGCAAAACTCCAAGTTGCAAGTCTTTACCCCTTTTAACAATCCTTGATCTGATAGAGTATTCAAGGATTTTCCTCGAGCATGTCCCAAGCGCATGTGCCATAGCCTGGTTGCTTTTGCCTCTTTGTCGTCACTGAATATCGCTGTCCCAATAACTGTACTACCACGATAACGGTACAAATTATTGTTCTTCCGATTAGCCTTCACTACCACTAGTGCACCAGAGCACCCATTGGAAAGTTGTAATGAAGATTCAATGCTCATTCAAAGCACTTCTGCCAAACAAAATTAGGGAAAACTACACAGCATAGTTGTTACCAAAAATAATAGTTAATAATTTTTTATTTTAATATTTAACTAACGAATGTAACTATTTTGGGCTGATTGGCAAATATGTAACTTGCCCAAAAAATTAAGGGCTAGCTCATGGGCCAGTTGGCTGGGCAGAGTTAGCGTTTGTAGGTCATTCAAATCATGGGCTGAGATGGGCTATTAAATTCTAAAGTCCATAAAGACTGGGTAGCCCATTTTGATAGCTCTGCTTCACTCCTTTTTTGGGCTTTTTTCACTTTAGCCCGCGACAAAAATTTTTTATATTTGGTAGCCGAAAAATTGTATAAAATTTTTGTATATAACATAGAGAATGTATATATATATAAAATATATATTATTTCTGCTATTATTTTGAGAGCGGCTATACAGTGTCATTTCACCCATTTTTTTTTTTGTTGAACTCTAGAATGTTACAGTCTATTCACAAATCACACAGAGTTTAATTTCACAAGACTCTAAACTTATTGACAAATGAAAAGAGAAAATAAAAACTCCAGTGCATACAGGCACATTATTACTCCTTGATGATACAGTTACTATTTAGAAAGTCAAGTACGTCTTATTTGAGCATGATTTTTTAAATACTTTCTAAATATTTTAAATTGTTAATTATTGTGACTTATAGTAATTTTTAGGTAGTTTTCAAATATGAAAAAAATATTTCCAAAAGAATTAGAGATTCTATGTACGGGTTTATATATGAAAAAAAATTTGGAATGGCGAAATAAAATAAAATGAAATGGCGAGAGTACTATTTAACACCATGGGCGCATCAATACCTGGTTTTGCTAGTCGATGTTTCCTGGTTCCACAGCACTACAATGCTACAAAGGGAAGGTCAAGTAACGTATTTATCAGAAATCTTTGCTCGTGACATTAAAAATTTGATTAGACAGGCTAAAAGCAATATAAAAGCTGGATTTATTTGTTTTTTCTTTTGTCTTAAAAAGAGTTTAGTACTTAATTATACAATTAGGAAACGAAGTCCGTGATATGTGAAGCCAACTTTGCCAACCTTTCCTCACGAGTGACGAGATTAGTTACCACTAATCCACACCTTAATATTTGTTGGTAGTCGGTGTCCAGATTCTTTTAAAGTTATACCTTAATTAATCAATCATTATCTTTAATCAGTATAGCATTGTTCAATGGGGTAGGAGGCTGGATAAAATCAACACAAGAAAGCTCTAATTATTTTTAGATGACAACTTAGATGGGTGGCGGTAAGATTCGAGCTTAGGATCGGTAATTGCTCTAATATTATGTTGAAGTACATATATTATCAGTGGCGTATCTAGCATTTTAAGAATATGAGTGCACCATTATCTTTAGATAAATATATAATTTGACAATATAATCTCTTACAATGACTCAAGTTGAAGAGCAAACTTTTATATAATATTATTAGTATTATTTATGTCCTCGACGAATTTTCATACTTTGAAAACTATTAATAATAGCGTCATTACTTACAATTTGAATTAAATATCTTACATTATATATAGCAAGCTAAAAGTCATTAAAAATTTCTTCATCCATTCTATTACGTAGATCTTTTATGTACTTCTACTTCCCTGTAGATATATGATTTGTATTAGTATTAGTTTTTTATTTGTTATTTTTTATTTTTATTATAGTGAAAGTTTAAGATTAATTTATTATCTTTTTCTACTACTTCATTTCTTGTTGAGAGATTAATTAGTATTTCAATTTTGAAGTTCTCTTTTCCAACCGACACTTGCAAGTTTAAAGCTACTATTATCAGTGATCTTACGCCGAGTAACCATGAAAGAAAAGGCAACAATAAAGAAATGGAAGCATTGTTAATTAAATAATCTAAGCAAGTATTACTTGGGGCCAAAGGTGCACTCATTGACTGTTAAGCCAAAGTACTCACTTAAGCATGAGTTCACACATGCTTATTTAAGAGCAAAATTAGAAAAATACAAGTGCTATATATGATTTAGGTATATAACTATCTTATCTAAAAAAGTAAACTATTAAATACACATTTTTATTCGCTTAATTTTATCCTCAATTCTCTTAATCCGAGAATGTAACGTTGGATGTGTTAACCGACGAAAGTTTGCTCTTAAAATTCATGTACTAAAATCATTATATTTTCATTGGATATGTCATGTTTCAATTTGAAACTGCATGTGAAATGTCATTAACAAAAATAAAATAGTCATCAACTAGCTAGTACAGCCTAAAGCCAAAGTCTTCATCCTCTATATAAACCCTTAACCACACTCCTCAAAACCACCATCCACAAAACAAAGATAGTGAAAAAGTTCCAAAACTTCAATATTGAGAGATGGAAGCAAAGCAAAAGCTTGTAATTTTTGTGGCACTTGTGATGGTTGCAGCCGTAGGATTTGAAATGGCGGCGGCAGGATCCGGAGATTCACCGTGTGGTTTAAGCATTGGTGATCTAATGTCATGTAAGCCAGCAGTATCTGGTCCTAAACCATTGCCACCATCTGAAAAATGTTGCGCTGCTTTAGGCAAAGCAGATTTGCCTTGCCTTTGCACTTTCAAGAACAGTCCAATGATATCTGCATTCAAGATTAATGCAACTCTTGCCATGGATCTCCCCTCAAAATGCAATCTTAATTCTCCAAACTGCGCCGCTTAATTAATTAATGATCGTACTGACTACCCCTTTCACTTGATGTTATTGTTTTGTTTCAATATCTATTGGCTTTGTTGTTATTTTTCTTGGAAGTGTAGACGTTCCTAGTGTCACCTTGCTGTCTTTCGTTTTATTCTATTTTCTTTTTTTTCTTCTTCTTTTATAACTTGGAGTGGCGGGGTAAAGATCAATTTCATGTTATGGTAAGAGTTTGTGTTGATCAACTAGTATGGTTGATTGCTCAAGAGTTATGTTAATAAAGTTTGATGTTTTGTTTGTTGTTTCATGTCACGACATTTGATTTGGTTTAAGTTTTGTGTACTGACATTAGAGTTTTTATAGTATCGGATTAAATTTACCTATAATAGGAGATAGCTCCTAATAGTGAGTCTGATAATTAACATTCAAAATAAAGTAATGTGACCTTCCATATCTAATTAAATTGCACGGATAATATAGAACAATTCTATCAGGTAATTTAATCACTTATGATAAACTTCGAACACTAAGTGCAAAATAATATTTACACAATCATCTAGCAAGTCACAAAAAGTTCATAATAAGTGTAACTAATTACTTAAAATTTAGATAAAGCAAACATTTTGTTATAATAAGTTAAAGTACATTATATAAAAAATTTGTATAATAAATCCGTGACTCTTTATTTAATGCGCAGTTCCTTCTTTAGGCGAGGAAAAGGACAATTTTCTTCTCATGGCTTCCCACTTTAGAATACTTGATCTAAAGAAATTAATTGCCTTCGTTCCTTGTTTCTTTTGTTAATTTCTGTTAAAGATAGGAGTCGTCACGTGCCAATCACGTGAGTGTAGTTAAGTTAGTTAAGAGGGATTAGTTAGTTATAATTAATTATGGAATTGGTTAGTTTAGGTGATAAAAGGCTCTAGATTAGATGCAATTGTAAAGATGTATATATAGATAGTATCATCTCATTGTAAAGTAGAGCTTCAATAATACAAGCCAATTTTCTTTCAAATAGAAAATTCTCTCTAGAACTGTTTTCCGTCATTGTTGTGTTCACTGAAGCTCTCAGATTTTCATTATGGTATCAGAGCAGGGATGATAGATCCGCGTTCACTGTAATTGTCATTCCTCGTTTTCTCCGACAAATTTTTGTCGTAGATCGATTGTGATTTTTGCAATCGATTAAGCTAGGGCACACAATTTTTTTCCCTGCAATTTAAGACTGAAAACTCTGTTAATTGTGGAATTCAAAACTTAGTTACTTGAATTTGATAGACATGGTAGTTGGAGAAGAAGTTTCAGTTGGAACCAGCACAGGAACAACCGCAATAACCATCGATCATCATCACCCTCTGTTTTTACAGCCAAGCGACACTCCAGGTAGCTCCTTGATTTCAATTCAGCTAACTGGAACCGAGAACTATGCATTATGGAATAGATCTATGAAAATAGGATTGATGGGCAAGAGTAAATTAGGGTTTGTTGATGGACGATGCACTAAGGATAAGTTCGATCATTCATTGCATGAACTTTGAAGAAGTGTAATGCAATAGTTTTGCCTTGGATCATGAATGCTGTGAGCAAGGAATTGCTCAGTGGTATTATGTACAAATCAAGTGCACATAAAGTTTGGACAGATTTGAAGGATAAATATGATAAAGTGGATGGATCTCGCATTTTTTTCTACATAAAGAAATTGCAACTTTGTCGCAAGGAATTTCTACTGTGTCAGCCTATTTTTCACGGTTGACAGATTTATGGGAAGAATATGATGCCTTGATGCCATGTCCTGGATGTGATTGTCCAAAATCTAAGAGTTATTTAGAGCACTTTAAATATCAGAGTTTGCTATAGTTTCTGATGGGCCTAAATGAGACATATGCACAGCCTAGGAGTCAAATTTTGATGATGAGCCCAGTACCTTCCGTAAACAAGGCGTATTCCATGGTAGTTTCTGAAGAAAGACAGGGAAATCTGAAAAAATCTACGCAGGCATTAGATATGGGGGACAATACAACATTGTTCACTAACAAAGGAGGCATGACTACAGGAAACACTTATAAGCCCAAAAGAAACAATTTGTTTTGTGACTACTGTAACTATACAGGTCACATCAGAGAAACATGTTACAAAATACATGGCTATCCAAATGATTTCAAAATGAGGAGGAAAGCCAAAAGTTTTCCACAAAGACCAATGGTTAACACCGCAACACATGAAGGACAACAATACATGGGGAAAGCAGCAGAACATTAGTACATGGGAAAAGCAGCAGCAAATGTAGTATCTCAGGAAGGGCAGCAGATGCTGAACTCACCAGTTGGAAATCCAACACCTACACTGCCTCAGCTAATCATGTTCACTCAGGAACAATATGATCAAATTTTCAAATTGATCAACAAAGACACAGGTGACAATTCAAAGTATTTTGCAGGTACGACTAAGGCCACTACATTAGCTGACAAAACAAAGAATAAAAACTGGATAGTAGATTCTGGTACAACTAATAACATGGTTCACATCAGAGAATTTCTTGACAAGATTAATACTAATAACCTAAAGTATGAATCTAAGGTTCATTTACCTGATGGTACCTCACTAGATATTGCTTGTATTGGAGAAAGTAGGATTGGTGAATGTAGTATTATTAGGAATGTACTATACATTCCAAATTTTAAATACAACATGTTGTCAGTCTCTAAGCTTACAAGGGACTTACAATATTTTTTATCCTTCTATCTTGACTTCTGGATCAGGCAGGACCTTCATAATGGGAAAGTGAAGGGGATTGGTAAAGAGCTTGAAGGATTGTATAATATGCAGCATCAGCAGGACAAAGCCAAGGTTGCAACTGTGCAAACACATGCTCATTCTAAAGTAGAAGAGGAACTAAGGGTCTGGCATGAGAGACTTGGACATGCCCCTGATAAAGTGGTGAAACAAATCCCAAACATAAAGTTCAAGATCAACAATTATAGAATAAGAGATTGCACAATATGCCCTCTAGCTAGACAAGGAAGATTACGATTTCCAAAGAGTACAAATAGATAAAATAAACCTCTTGAGATGATTCATGTAGATGTATGGGGTCCATATAGAGTAGCAAGTCACAATGGATACAAATACTTTCTTACTATAGTAGATGATTACACTAGAATGATATGGGTTTACTTGTTGAGACTTAAGAGTGATGTGATTGTATGCTTGAAACCATTTTTTGCTTTAATAAAAACTCAATTTGGAGGAACAGTCAGAATTTTGAGAAGTGATAATGGGGCTGAATTTTTCAATTCTAAATGCAGCAGCTTGTTCAAATTGTATGGAATGATTCATCAAAGTTCCTATGTCCATACCCCATAACAGAATGAGGTAGTAGAAAGGAAACATAAATATATACTGGAGGTGGCTAGGGCAATTAGACTACAAGGTCATTTGCCTCTCAAGTTTTGGGGAGAATATGTGTATGCAACAGTCTATATCATTAATAGACTTCCCCTGTCAGTGCTATCAGGGAAGTTCTCATTTGAGATGATGTATGGAAGAGCACCTTCCTTATAGCATATGAGGATCATATGATGTCGGTGCTTTGACAAAATTCTAGTAAGGGAGATAAGTTTGCAGCAAGAGCCATTGGAGCTGTTCATATGGGATATTCTTCATCTCAGAAAGGATATAGACTATACAATCTCTTGACTAACTCCTTTTTTGTCAGCAGGGGTGTAAAGTTCATGGAGAACATATTTCCTTTCCAGCTTTTAAAGGAAGGAAAGTTGCAGGTTTTTCCCAATGGAGTCATAGAATCTATTATTAGCAATGACACAACACCACTCTCTCTTTCATCTACAAATGCAGATCCTCCACATGAAGCTACAAGTCCTTCTTCTATAGATGCATTACAACATGAGCCAGTACCTACTCCTAAATCACCATCTTTGTTGCCTTCACTAGTTTTTGAAGACATACAACAGCCACACAGCTAGAAGGAATATTCTTAGAAGTAATCCATCCTTCACACTCAGACAACCAGCCCAGAAAATCTAGCAGAAATGTGAAAAAAACTACCTGGATGCATGATTATGTGTGCAATGGTTCATTGGCAAGCTCAACTTCACAGACATCTTGCAAGTATCCTATGCAAGATTTTCTGAGTCATGATGGGCTTTTAGTCAAGTACAAAGCTTATCTTTCCAAGATAACTAGTTTGAAGGAACCTAGCAGCTATGAAGAAGCAACAACAAATCCTAAATGGGTAGACGCTATGACACAAGAGTTGAATGCCCTCAAAGAGAATGGGACCTGGTTCTTGGTAGATTTTCCAACAGGGAAAGTTCCCGTAGGTTACAAATAGGTATTCAAAATAAAATATAGTGCAGATGGGGAAATTGAAAGATACAAAGCTCGTTTGATTACGAAAGGGTATAATCAGATTGAAGGCCTTGACTACCAGGAGACCTTTTCTCCTGTGGTCAAAATGGCGACAATTAAAATGGTTCTTGCCCTAGCAGCAACACACAATTGGAATTTGCATCAGATGGACGTATACAATGCCTTCCTTCAGGGCGACCTCATTGAAGAAGTGTATATGTGCTTGCCCCAGGCATTTCACAGTCAGGGGGAGAAAGTATGTAGCATAAATCCCTCTATGGATTGAAGCAAGCTTCTAGACAGTGGAATTTGAAACTGACCGAGGCCTTGATCAATTCAGGATTTGTGTAGAGTCGATTTGATTATTCCTTGTTTACAAAAAGTCAAGGGATCAGTTTAATGATCATTCTATTATATGTGGATGATCTTCTCATAACTGGGAATGATCATTGCCTAATTTCAGAAGCAAAGTCTATATTGCAAAGCAACTTCAAGATCAAAGACTTAGAGGAGATGAAATGTTTTCTAGAAATTGAGATAGCAAGATCAGGAGAAGGAATACTGATGAATCAATGAAAATTTGCAATGGAATTAATCACTGATCTTGGAATGGCAAGATCAAAACCAGTAGCCACTCCATTGGAATGCAATCAGAGATTCACAACAACAGAATATGACCAACACTTGGAGCTGAAAGATAATGGGAAGCTTCCAGATGCAGGTCCATAACAAAGATTGGTTGGGAAACTGTTGCACCTCACTATGACAAGACCAGACATTTATTATGCAGTGCTGTGTTGAGCCAATTTATGCACTGTCAAAAGAAGTCACACATGGAGGCAGCAATAAGAGTTGTTATATACATAAAAGGGGCACCAAGTCTTGGTCTACTGATGAGCTCAATGCCTTGCCCAAAACTCACAGCATTTTGTGATGCTG